GGGGGGGGGGGGGGATACGGTCATTTTCCTTCTGGACTTAATCTATCGAAATTCTTTTGGGGAAAGTTTTTTTTTTTCTTCTATAAGACGAGGGTGAATTTCGTTTGGCAAGGGTCTCTTCGACTTTCGTATTAGGGGCTGTGATTTTTTTCTTTCGTTTCCACGCGTCTGCATTTCCTTTTTTTATCTTGTCTTCTTGACTTCTCGATGCTCGGGCTGGTATTGTCTGTGTAGTATGGCTGAAAATTGAACTTGCTTTTTTTCTTAGAATACTTGAGTCAAGTTTTTTGTGGTTTTTGAAAATTGTCACAATTATAAACAACCGTCCTATCTATATTTCTCGTACTGTTAGGTGCTTGGGTAACTACGTGATAAAAGTCGAAGAAAATTGAATTTTCGAATTTACATCAAATTACCCATAAACCTTCAGTCATTCAATAATTCATACGTCATTTATTCGTTATCCGATAAAACCACGTCACGGTTTACTTTTCACGAGGGAAAACGTACGGGGAGAAAAAAGAGAGAGAGAGAGAGAGAGAGAGAGAGAAAGAGAGAAGGCGAATTTATGAGTTAATTAAACCGAACATCCTATTTCGAAACTTTGACAATCGGCCATATTTTTCCAGCGTGGCTGAATCGAGTGAAGCGAAAGAGAGAAGGCGAATTTATGATATCCGATAAAACCACGTCACGGTTTACTTTTCACGAGGGAAAACGTACGGGGAGAAAAAAGAGAGAGAGAGAGAGAGAGAGAGAGAGAAAGAGAGAAGGCGAATTTATGAGTTAATTAAACCGAACATCCTATTTCGAAACTTTGACAATCGGCCATATTTTTCCAGCGTGGCTGAATCGAGTGAAGCGACGCGTACATTTCCGTGCATTCATTCCGGCTCGTTTTTCTCGGCACTTTCTCCCGGGGACTACTTGACACCCTTTTCTTAGCCTATGTAAACGACCCTCGGGGTCCTTTCTTCCAGAACATTGACATCAGCCGCTCGCCAATCCTGCCTCTCAGCTTTGACTTCGGGCAAAGAAGAAGAAATATTGACATTTACAAAAATTATAAATCAAGCAGTCCAAGCGCGTTCGTGAAAAATTAAAATATTTTTTAAATTCCAAACCCACCCTACCATTCCCCGTTAGCTCGATTACATTATCTGGAAAGACGTGCTGAGAATTCCTCGTGGAAAAATAATTAAAGGATTAAAAAAGAATGACCGAGATCGATGGCTTCTCTTTGCAAGGACTATTCTTACAGCGTCAAGATAACTTGATTGATCCCCCCCACTTACAAAGCCATTCTTATACAAAATTTCAAGGTCCATAACCCTTGGTTCGCCGTTCCGTATCATTTTGCAATTTCAAAAATCTTCACGATCAATAGCAGTGATCGATCATCGCATATACGTAATAGGAAGGGTCGATTGGATCAGCGAATCAAAACCAGACCAGCAAGTACCACCTAAGAGGAAACGTATGGGCACTGAAACAGGAAACGAAAGTAAGGAAACAAAGCAAAAAGAAAATTCAAAAATTTCTATGTAGATCTAAGAATAACATTTTCTTTACCTGTATCGAGTCCTTTCCAGCTTCCCTCAAGACTGATCTTGGCTCCGTGTGTCCTGGTCCATTACTATACAGCAAGGTCGTATACGGCTTTCCATCCACGTCAGATACTTTACTGTCGGATCCTGAAGAATAAAATGAAAAAGAAAAAAAAAATGATGAATGATTTGCCTGTCACAAAAATGTTTATCCTATCTGACTCGTCCTAGTAAATGTTCTGGACCGAAAGCGAGAGAGGGTGATTTGAGCAGTTTGGAATGTCGAGGAAGAGATTGGCTGGGCGGAGATAAGAGACTCTTGAGAAACGTATTAAACGTCGATAAGGATTTTGGATAAAAACAATATTCTTTATAACTAAATCGAACCCTGAGTCGGATAACAAAAGACTATCACGTACCGACGTTTTCTGATGAAAAAGAATGGACGATTTTATTTCCGGTTTTTTCACCCGTCGAAAACGTGATACATTTCTTTTTTTCCCTTTTTCTAAGACTTTTTTTACCCTCAATGTAGCAGATTAGCTTTGACTCGCAGATACGAAAAGTCTTTTACGATTTTTCACTTACGTTCTATTACCTCCCCTAGTCCTAGTACCGACTGGTGACCTTTTCAAAATACGTCACGTAATCTCAGCTTGTAGAGGCAGAAGGAAAATATGGATTTTTGATAAAATTCAAAAGGAACGAAAGTCACGAACAACAATTTTTCTCGAGTATCTAAACTTTTGTAGGCGAAAATTTTCTGGATTTTCATGATTTCGAAGAATCACTACGGCAGACGTTTCCTTCGAGAAAAATTTTGACGTTTCTTGCCAATTTCCTACGGGTACAACGAATTGACTTTACCGCAAGCTTTTCTTTCGAAAAGCTGCAAAAGCTTCTTTATTCTGACACGGGGAAAACGTCCTTTTGCTACGAAACACGTGTTCCTGGAGATAAATTTTTATTCGAAGAATGCAATTTTTTCTCCAAATTTCAAGTCGCATCTTTTATTTGCATTTAAAAAATATTGCACAAAAAATAATATCTTGATTATCCTCAAATTTTATATTCAACAATAACGTCAGTCGTCCTCAAATTTCTGCTCGTGTTGAGATTTCATCCGCGAGGATACAGAAGGTTCCTATAGCACCGTCCATGGAATTGAATTCGTCCTCGAGGACAAGACCTATTTACAGGATGTGTCGTCCTTACCGGTGTCAATTAATTTCGACGTTTAACGAGATAGGAGATATCGCGGTCCGGACAATTACTTGACCCACATTCCAAGAGTCCCAGCAGATTTCCAACTGGACTCATAATCTTCGTCACGAAATGATATGACGTATCGCGAAGAAAGAGGAAAATAAAGCAAGGAAAACGAAAGAGAGAGACGAAATTTGTAAAAAGCAAAAAAAAAATTTTGAAAATCAATTCGATCGATCAAATTCGATTTAAGTTTTTTTTTATGAAATTTATAAAAATTCAAAAACAGGATCTTCACGTGTTCCAAAACGTATACAAATGTACACTTTTAATTGTACAGTGATTTTTTTTTCTTTTTTAATAATAAATTTCACATCCCATTGATGCTGCATCACCTTCGAGAGATATCACCGTGAGATTCATCCCCATGGCGATAAATACAAAGCAGACTCACTAGGAAATTTTTCGCGTCACGTTGCTGGACCCGAAGAGGGTTGATTCTGAACCCTCTCGAGTATACGTACTAGGGCTGGTTAAGGGGTAGGAAATGAGTGGGGGGGTTGGTTGATAGGTGGTGGGTGGGTACGATGTGATTTGAAAAACGTTTTCCTGACAAGAGGTCAGGTTAGGTTAGGATGCCAAGAAAATGGAGCAGCTATAACACTACCCTTATGGTAATTAAAGCTCATAAGGGTGGATTATACAGGGAGATTTATAAGATAATAATTTTTCTTAAAAATTTCTTATATACGTATATATACCTTTTGCATTTACACGGCAGCTTATTTTCTCGAAATTCGAAAACCGTCAATTACACTTCGGACTTCAAGTCGACCTGAACTTCCTTAAATTTTGGCCCAACTCCTTTTGCTTTTACCTCAACATACGAAATTCGACATCCTCGTTTGCTCAATCTCGAGAATTTCCTATTTCTCTGGCAGTGTGTACCTTACCTACCGGACTATTGAGGTACTCTAATACCAGCTAGCTACTAGTGGCGCTATATAGCTATAGCTGTACTACAGCTATAGCTACTACTAATAGTACTAGTAACCGCAATGCTCCAAGAAACTCGAACAAGTAGCACGAGTGAATTGAACAGGAACTCCAGTTTCTGGAATTCACGAAACTGACGATAGAATTTCGTTTCCTTTTTTTTTTATTTTCAATTCACGACGTACCATCCCCACGAGTTTCCGTGATTCCTCGTATCGTTTTCATATAATTCATATTATTTGTGTAATTCGACGGAAAATAAATAATTATCGTAAAATCACGTAAAACCGTAATCGATTATTCAGATTGTTCATTCGCATCGAACGGGACTAATGAATGTCTAATTTGACTACTTCCTTCGTAAATCTAATTTGACGACTTCATTTTAATTATTCCTATTGCGTAACCAGGCAAAAATAAAATCAAAGAAGAAGCTCAATTCCCGCGAGTGTCGAGCCGATTCTCATAAGCAGGAGTTATTCAACGCTGGATTCAATTTGTTAGTTCAATGATACGCCGACGCTAGAATCAGCCCCTATACGAAGGGGCGGATTTCTCTTTATTAAAACTTTGTGAAATTTTGTTTGTCGAAGTAATATCTAAAAAAAAAATTGCTCTCGACGTTTTGTCGTCCCCTCTAACGCGAATCGTTCAAGCGTTGAAATTGCAAAATTTAATTGAAAATTCACGAGATTTTCAATTGCCTTCGCGTCAGGCGGACTTTCGTCGTTGTCTTTGAGAAAAATTCCGGAATTTCAACGTCGTCCCGTTAACACGTAAAAATTGATTCGTTTCCACCCAACCCCTCGCAAGTTAATTATATTTTTCTTTATAAAGAAGCAGACGACAGGTAAGCCCGAGTGCTTCTTATGAGAATAAAAATACAAAATTTACAGAGTTACGAACAACACGTGCTAGCGAGCGTGTCGCTCGATCAGTTTTCGACTTCATATTTTTTTGGCTCCACTCGTAAAATAAACGATAAAAAAAAGCAAAGACACTTTGGTTTTCTCTACGTCCACGCTCTCAGCTTCGACGTAGCGAAGAATGTTAAGTTTCACGTCCCGAGCTAAAGTCGATTTCTTTCACAATTCAAAGTTCCTTCTTGAGAATAATTTTTCGTTCGTGTTTATCGTAACGGCAGATGCATATTATTTTGTGATATTATGGCGGGAAAATTTGATTTGAATTTGACACGTTAATGTATCAAGGCTTGAAATTAAAACTGATAAAAGTTCAAATATAGGATTTGGTGGTGGTTCAATTATACAGACAAATTTTTTGTATATATATATATATATATGTATGTATAGGTAGGAGATCCTTCAACCCTCACCAAAGTCCCGTTATCAGGAATTTCCAAGGTTACTTGGAGATATCCACCCCATATCTGGAAAATCTAATAAACGCATGAAATCCCTTTCGCAGATGGAACGCTCGATTTACAATCCGATTTACTATGATGGCTGGTCGAGATACTTTTCATGAAATCGAATTTCTCTAATGGCCGACGATCGTTTGAAAACTTTCTCACGATCCTATTTCCCCGTCAGCGAAACCGATTAGCCAAATACGACCGAACCCTCGTTCCTCCCAATGACGAAAATTTCAACTTCGTAAATGACGTCCTATCTTGCCGTAATTTGTAACCGCCTGACAGGCACGAGTGAGCGGATTAAAATTTTCGATTATCGATCTTGCGTAAGCATTGGTATGATTTTTCAATAAATCGAAATTTATTGTTGAATAGAGAAAAAAAATACGGCAGCTACGCTTACCGAGAATTGGATTTCCGCGATGAGTCGCCAATCCGCCTAAGGTTAACACGTGCGAATGATCTGCTGTAACGACCAGCAGAGTTTCCGTCAGGTCAACTTCGTCCATGACGGCCTTGACGGCTTCCTCCAGTGCCAGAGTCTCGTCGAGCGCCCTGTAGGCGTTATTGTAGTGATGAGCGTGATCGATTCTGCCACCTTTAAGAAAAAAATATAAAAAGTTACGTTTAACAACGCATTTATGGAACGGACAGTACGTGACTGGAATATATGAGAAAAAATATATTCCCGACTATACATATAATGCCGTTGGTTATGGGGTACGATAAAAATCAATCACGTATGGTATTTACGTAACTTTTTTTTTAATCAGGTAAAACCACAAACCTACCTTACCTCGGCTGGATTTGGGTTCGTCCACTTTTTACACAATTTTTGGAATCGCTTACAAAGCTAAGAAAAAAAAAAATACATAAATCTGGCCGAGTATTCAAGCACACTTTCGGCTACTTCCGACAGATGTTCTTGGACTGAGATCCATTTTCGGATATTCGAGAACGGGTCCAGGCGAACAATCCGACTCGAAGTTTTAATTGACTAGGAAGCATCCTCGGAAATACTTTACGTAAAAGTTAATTCGAAGCTTGTTTTTCTTATTGATCATCCTGGATGCTGGACAGGAGACATTTACTTTTTTTATTTAACCTATACGACGACTAGTCAACTAACTAACGGACGTTTCCAGTCGTTTTACAATTTGTCTTTGTAAATGAAAATCGTCCTTTTCTTTCATTCATTTTTTCCGTTACAATTTACACTATTTTTTTCATAAATAAACAGTCGACGTAAGATAATTCAATTCAATGTTTCAACATAGTAATAGCTTATCTGTCAGTGTTGATAGCACTGACAGGATCTAAGGCGGAAGTGACGGCGTACCACAGATAATGATATTTTTTTTGTAAACAATAGGAAACGGTATACTGACACAAATTTAGTAAAGACTCGAACATAATAGAAACAAGAAGTTCAGTGTACGTTTAATCAGCTGAAAGTGAATTTGTGATAACACCTGAAGTTTGATTAGTGAAATAAAATTTTCTCCAAAAATAAATACCTTCACCATACAAGAACGTATCTTATGTCAATTTATGGACTGTACAGCGTACCTTTTGCAGTACCATAAGTAAGCTCTTGTCCAAATTTTAATCTGATATGTTTCTTATGCCCTGATAAAGATTTGACAGCTTCATCCGGTATCACTGGAAATCCAAGTGTGCGGCAAAGTCTTTCACTACCCATTCTATTTATGGTTGTCACTTTTTTTTTTACATTTACGAGTACGTTTTACCTGTTCCCACATATTCTAACGTGACAACACATTTGCAAAAAGTAACTAGTATTAAAAAAAAAGGGGATAGGAACTAACACACTTGGCCGCACACTCGAATTTGCAATGACAAATATATCGGTTATAAAAAAATTGTCGATACGATTTTCCATCATGCGGGATAAGGGATTACTCTTGGCGGCTTACCTTCCACGAATAAAAAAAATCCTTCGGGATTTTTCATAAGTATTCGGAGAGCCTTAATCGTCATTTCCGTCAAAGAAGGATCGCCGGTGTCGTTCGTGTTGCGATCCACGTCGAAATCCATATGAGAATATGAAAAAAGACCTGAAAAGAAAAAATTCAAAAAATTGATAAAAATGCTTTTTTTCGCAATTTTTTTTTTTTTTCAAAAAAAAATCTAGACTTTTCAATTCACCACACAGCCTATCAACCACGACCCCATTGAAAAATGGCAAAGATCTCACCTCTTCCAGGCCAACGACTCAATCAGCTGAGATGGTCGGATGAATATTAAACTCCTCCCTACGCTACCCCTATGAATATTGATCGAATTATCCACTAGAAATTCATGCAAGTATTCATACAATAATAGAGGCAAGACCCGGTGTGATGTTTTATCGCGAATAAAATGGTGGGAAAGGTAGTAATTTCGAAACAATACGTTTCAAGAAAGTCCAAAAGATTTCGTGACTCTTTCCTTCTGCTGTTCTCACGCAACGTTAAATATATTCAGTGCGTGAATATCAAAGGTAATACTTGAATGAGTATTAAAAAAAAAAATGAATCCCTAATCACAGATTACATGTCAAATCTAATCTGTGCATCTAGAGCGAATATGCCCATAGCTACGTGAATAAATTAAAAATCTTATCAGTGTACCGCTAAGTATGTATTATCAAATTTGACACATAGCGTAACCTATATTTTTTTTTCCTTATAGACCCAACTCCAATGATAAGAAATCGACTTTCGCTCTAGACCAATCAGAAGGTCCCATTCGCTGAGCACGTGGATCCATTTGTTCCCCTTTTTTCTTTGATAATTCATGAGGCTTTTTCAAAATAATTGGCAATAATATAAGACTAAATCCATATACCTTCAATATTAAAAGCTAACTTAGGGCTTAGCGATAAGAGCATTGCGACTTTTTCGGAAAATAAGACTTATCGAGTCGTCCAAACGAAACGAAGAATTTTCATGTAGGAATATCCGAGAAAATGTAATAAAAATTAAAAAAAATCGTACAGTCGTTAATAATTAACAAGCTAATGAAAGAACCAAGTGGTATTATTGCAATTAGCATGTCAGCGCTCTGCCTCCATACATACCGTATACGTGCAACGTGTTACGTGTGCCGCGGCTAATTAAAATCTGGCAAGTGCTTCGAGTGGAAAAAGTACACGTTAGAGTAAAAAAAGGCGAATTAAAAAAATTAAACCAGGTTAAAAGCAAGATACGGTAATACTACTATTGATCGCGAATTTGAGTATGCATTATATTCCGTATATGTACATTTTTAGGTTTGGTATTGGACGACTGGGCTTTCTCGTCGACTACCTATAAAGATGTACCTAATAAATGATCAACTTTTCGTGGATCCACATTGTCAAACTCTTCCTTGTTAGATACGTATTCGGCTGCCAGATTTCGCAAACGATGATTACGTGACCATTCTTCTATTAAGTTTCTACCATCCAATCGGCGTCCTTCTTTATCTGGCTCTTCGGGATCCAATGTGACTTTAGGTACGAAGTGACGTCTACCACCACCGAGTATAACCTGGAATTTAAATAAATTTTTTGTAAAAAAAAAGAGTAATACAGATAAATAATTTTTGAGCGGTATTACAAATTATTTTTTAATATTTTACGTCATCTTTCTTTCGTGGTATGCATGTATATGTATAATGACAGAACGACTAAAATTTTTTTTTCAAAATCAAATTCAACATTTTTTTCTTATTACATTAATGTCACGTCCTGGCTCGTCCTCCAATAATTGTCTCGCTATATCCTTGCAGGAGGTTCGTGCAGTAGGTGGTACTTTGCCATCATCTTCCCAGTAGCGACTAGAAGCATGTGCGTAAAGTGCAGCTGGGGTAGCATGTGTCACTCTGGTGGTGGTAACGAGGCCTGTAGATTTTCCTATAAAATAAAAAAAAAAAGTTACAAAAATATGTAAATTGCAGAGAAAAAATATCCAGCTAAAAAATGCAATTTAAAAAAATGTGTCTGAGCCTTTTCATATTTCTCCACGACTTCGATCACTTCTAATATAATTAACCTCGTTTCACCTCGAAAATCAGCCTTCACTTTTACGCGAATTAACGTCGAAAATACGGAACAAAGTATTTTAGCGGCACTGGAGGTTATTAATAACGAATATTTGTTACCCTCTGAACTTTCAAAGAAACCATTTCGCGAAATGGTATATACGCCGTTACGTAATCCGGTTAATATTTCAGAGAATCAAGAATCCCTTAAAGATGCAATACCAATGAAATGACTTTAAATTTCCGGTAGAATCTGTCCAAGTTAATTTACATTGCGCAATCAGCTGTGCGGTTACAAAACGTTCAAGTTGTCAGTGACGTATGGGAGTTTCAAAAGAGTAGTCCAAAATTCAAAGGACCTTGTTACGTAACAATTCGATCTGTCAATAGACCAAAAAAAAATGTTGAAAAAAAAAATACATTTTATCCATAATTCAAATTGAGACAATTTATATAATTAATTCTAATCAACGTATCTCGATCGTCGATTATAAAAGTCATAGACACGTGTACGATAATGGATTCAAATGATTGTACGTATAACGCATATATACCCTATGCGTGTTAATTTCTAATGTTTATAACGTATTCAATCCTATAGAATTTAATATTGTGACAAAGGGTCCAAGAGTCCCTGATATTTGGTCCTGTTACCTAGAATACGTCACTAGCAGACGGGCAGCGATTAATCAAGCAGGTAATCAATCTTAATGACCGAGCTGAGGCAATTCGTGCTAACCCTATGTATTCTCTGTGTATACATTAGCACGTGGCCACATGCCGCAAAAACATGTTGCCCTCGAAACAAAATGTAACGGACCATAGACTTCCTGCCAGAGATTCCATATCATACAGTACGAACGGGGTATTATGATAAGGAGAAAAAGAAGAGTATTGATACCGATCAAAATTAGGTAATTGAGTGAAAAAAATATTTTTTTTTAATTTTTAAACCATTGCACTTACATTGGCATATTCGAAATTTAGAAATTAGAAAGAGCATTGCGACTTTTTCGGAAAATAAGACTTATCGAGTCGTCCAAACGAAACGAAGAATTTTCATGTAGGAATATCTGAGAAAATGGACCATAGACTTCCTGCCAGAGATTCCATATCATACAGTACGAACGGGGTATTATGATAAGGAGAAAAAGAAGAGTATTGATACCGATCAAAATTAGGTAATTGAGTGAAAAAAATATTTTTTTTTAATTTTTAAACCATTGCACTTACATTGGCATATTCGAAATTTAGAAATTAGAAAGAGCATTGCGACTTTTTCGGAAAATAAGACTTATCGAGTCGTCCAAACGAAACGACGAATTTTCATGTAGGAATATCTGAGAAAATGGACCATAGACTTCCTGCCAGAGATTCCATATCATACAGTACGAACGGAGTATTTTGATAAGGAGAAAACAGAAGAGTATTGATACCGATGAAAATAAGGTAATTGAGTGAAAAAAATATTTTTTTTTTAATTTTTAAACCATTGCACTTACATTGGTATATTCGAAATTTAGAAATTAAATTTAGCAGCGAATAACACTTATGCACCGATGACGTCATAATCGTAATTAAAGTCATTCGGTGAATGGTAATCGGACGTAAAATAGTGACGAAGTCACGTTACCTAGTTTCCAGATGGAAAGTGTCGTTTAGCTGACGGTCGTCGAAATTCGGTAATTGGGGAAAGGTCGAAGGTCACTACGAGTGGCGACGGGTAAAAAAAAGAAGTAATTTAGGCTAATATCCATATATTATTACGTAAGAGTTAGGGACGGCTCGGTGTATCCTATTTTTTTTATCTCTTTGGGTAATATAGGGTGTTTCCGAAAACACGGTGTATTTTCGGTCGTACGGTATTGCACGAAATTTTCATTTTCCTCGCCAATTTTCGAAGGCCGTTATATTTAATGATGATTGGACACCTCGAATTTTACTCCCGCGACATCAATATTTGTACGTTTTAATTAACGAAACCAATTGAATTTATTTCGAAAGAGTCCAACCGCGCACGTGTACCGACTGCTGGACTTTTTCGTTAATTGGGTAAGTACGGTAACGCTAAATCGCACCTATTTAACGTACTGCTGATGTTAATTATAGGAGGAGGTCATTTTCTTTTTCGCGTATCGAGTCATACTAATTAGCAATTTTGTAATTAGTGCGAAATTCATGTATTCGAATATTCGCGCGATAGAACGGTGAATAACAATTTATTCCTATTTCTTTTGTTTTCACTGAAAATAAGTGAACAAAAAAAGAAATGAAAATTCTGAAATTTATAAATATTATAATGATCAAAATTTACATTTTTCAATTTTACTCAAATTCAAAAAAAAAAAAAACGCAAGGGTAACTTTCTCGATCCCTTATGTAAGCACGTCTAATACCCTATCTATCATATTCCAGACAACTTAATGCACTGGTCTAACCTCTATACCGTACAACCATTAATCCCATCGATATCCTCTGTTTACCTGTTTTACATTAAAACACCAATTTCGCAGTAACGACGATTCTTGGTAAACCTGTGCCTCTTACAAATTTCGAAGAGTTTCTTTAGTCGCCTTAAAACTTTTTTGATCCCCGGTAGATCATACCCTCAAAGAAGTTCTTACAAGTTACGCAAATAGATTATACGTAATATCTACCTGCTGATTGCTTGACTTACGAAGCCAAACCAAGTAATACGAACTTCAAGCTTAAATATATATATGTACACCCGGCTCAAATCATTCTGACGTATAAAAAACGTGGCTTGAGGAGAAGGCTTCCCCTACTCAGCACACTCTTCAGTCCGAAGTTATTCTAAGCTGATTCTATGCGCATCTACGAGGCGGAGTATATGTATAACGTAGGATTGAAGAGCGTGCTGAGTAGGGGAAGCCTTCTCCTCAAGCCACGCTTTTTATGCGTCTGAATCGTTTGAGCCGGGTGTACATACATGTATTTTATACAAAACTTAATAAGTACTGGTCATAAAGAAAACTTAGATATCATTTGAAAAGTTAAATAAAAAAGAAAATTAAAGAAGCTACAATAAAAATCGCTCGATTATATAAAGAAAAAAAAAATTACAGTCGATCGAATAAGTATTTAATAATTTCATCGACTTACTTCATAGCGATACCAATATCCGGTTTATTATACATATACATATATAGTTTCTCTTAGACTTTGGTAAGTTTACCACTTGGCGCTGCAATATCCTAAAACTTCGATCCGGCACGAAGCAGCAGCGTAAAATTCGATTCCTAACATACCACCAGTATCAGCAGCTACTGATTTGATCCACTCGCTCGTGTTAGATAAAACGTGAATATCGAAAAAAAAAAAAAAAAAAGAACTCGTAATCATCCTGCAGTTCTAAATGACGGAAATCCATAAAATGAAAAATGATAAAATAAATAAACAAAATTTTTTTCCAACAAAATCCAAATTTTTAAATATCTTTTTTTTACTGATTACGTAAATAGTCCAAAACATTTAATTATTATCGATATAGTACGTATGGGTAACCGTTACGGGATTATGCATTTAATATAAATATATTGTTCATTACACGTACCTTGTTCCTGCGCCCAGCTAATTAAAGACGGCACGTGTGCATTCAAGCTGGATAAACAGTTTTCAAAGCGCGCCGACGAATCTAGTCCGACGGTCTCGTAGTTCGCCTTAACGCCACACATTAAGGCTGTCGCGCATGCTGAAGATTCGCCGACTTGTGCATCCATGTTGTAAGTCTGAAACATGAAGGAAAAAAATTGTATATAATAATACAACGTATTATAATATACGTATTATAAAATGACGTAATAGAACGTATATAATAGATAAATTAAAAGATTATTGAATCATCTGAAGGTGCTTCTGTTCATTTGACTTTTATTAATTCCTATGGTACAACCATATTCAGATGGTATATATACATATATGGAAAATATATATGTATCCTCGGTCAGCCGCCCGTCAAGTATTATGATAATAATGATTTCCCTTTGAGTCCTACAAGAAGAAAAGCAGAAGCTCGAAATGCATAAATCCTCCTCAGACATTAACGACAGCCATAGATACCCGAATTTCCTTGGAATTCAAGAATAACGCTGACTAAACGTCCCTTTCTTATCATTCAAAGTCCGAGAGATTTCAAGTTATTCCGACCAATAGTTGGCAGGACTGGTTCGTTGCCCGTCTCTACGTACGTATATGAGTAAGTGGAAATGGTGGCATATGGTCCGCCCGTTTACTGTCAAATACCCCTAGAAAACCAATGGAATCGCTTGCCACGTGTAAGAAAACCATAAAGCACAGTCGTCATTATCATACAAACTGTTCTTGGCCACTTCCGCGATTTCTTATCTTTACTGGCAGATTTTCGAGTTTACGATTATTTTACATCCCTGCTTTAAGGACGTAATGGTTCATTTCCAAATTTACGACGTATTACGACGGTATTGTCATTCAATAGTAAATTAGAATATTAAAATTTGTTTATGACTGAAATAAAAATTTTCCAAAATAACAAAAAAAATATATATTTTTACTTATTATTTTCTACGTGTAATTTTACTCTGTGGTATTAGATATACCCACGCCAATGCCATAAATTTTAAAGCAGCTCTTAAGGTTTCGCAAATTTATTTCATACTTTCCACCCCAACCCTGCTACAGTGCTACCCCTTTGACTGTTATCGGGAAATCGATTTTTTTTTTGTATATCGAGGTAAAATATGTGAATATGTATATACAGTGCACGAGCGCCAAGGGAACTAGAATGGAGCTCCATGTATATATGTATACTGTATATAGGGTGTGAATAAAATATCTTCAATTGTCTGGATGAATTCCATGTATTCGCCAGGGTGCGGTAAAGTCTCCAACAGCTGGTAAAGTATCCAGATTAAAGTTGGTCCTATTCATCCGATTGAGTCGATGCCAGAATTCCTTTGTGCACGAGAAGCCTGAGTTATTTGTCTCGGTATATTGGAGATTCGGATTCAATCTTCGTCGTTTGTACGTTGTTGTTCTTGTTGCCTTTTTTTTTTTCAATTCATTCGATTTTATCTTCTGTGTTCCTTCGAAACTCAATTTTGACCTACAAAATCAACAACCGGTAGGAGAATTCGTGGGAACCTGACTCGGTGAGGTAAAATTTTTTTAAAGTTTCGTGGCTTCGATAAAATTTATATAAATTCTTGTTTCTCGTGCAGCTCGTACATTAAAAAAAAATGTTGAATCGAAAAATAATACATTTCTAAGGTGAATTTCGTACTAATTGAATGTCGAATTAATTATCATTCCAAAAACAATAAAAAAAATTTTTTCCTGAAAATCGCAATTTTCAGCAATCTCGAAAAAAACTTTTAACCAATTTATGTATCTGAAACTGAATTTTTCGAGAACGAATTATCTCTTGATTTAAACAAATTTTTTTTTTATTTTAATTTTTGATCGACTGCTTTCATCTATCGACTATCTTTCATACGTTTTATCGACCTAATGATTATCTTATATCCGTAAAGACTGATAAGATAATATTCTATCAAAAAATGACGCGTACCTATCTCTATCGTTTAGTAAGTCCTACGCGCTTCGTCTGTGCGGACTTGTGTTTGTTTCTCAACAATACCAAACAATGGCTTCGGCAATGCGTAAGGTTGATAAAGAAATTGAAGAAAAGAGCAAAGGTCCCAGTGAAGTGTCAAGTACAAAAGACATCGAGGAATCAACAACAGACAGTTGGCCATTTAGAAAATCAAAGTAAGTAAAAATATTAAAGTCCAAAAAAAGTATTAAAAAATTTTTGATCATTAATATTGAAAAAAAAAAAATCAAAATTCCCCTCAACAAAGAAAAAAATCACGATATTCTAATCACTAAATAGTTCTAGGCACATGCTTATCTATGTTTACCTTATCATTTACCTTCAATACGTTAGCGTGATGATTTTTAATGTAACAATTAAAAGATACTATAAAAAAGTTAATTTATCTCCGATTGAATCATTTCACTGGTAATAAATGCCACGTGGCAAGGATTACGTAATTCAACCGAGACGAACCAGGCTTTGATAATTTGACGTTTATACCAGCTGACGAAAACATTAACGTGCCATTCATTGACGTTCACGGCATAGAATCATGTAGATACGTAACAAAGTCATGCCAAGATTCCGTACCCTCATCAAAATTCCTATGCCGAAGTGCTGGCGGCGAATAACTTGACGGTTAACGGGAAGGCATGAAGTTTCCAAGTCGGTCATAAGCAAGAGGGAGTGATAAGCACGCGACCCGTCATAATAGTTTTGGTCGCGATAAGACGTATGTTAAAGGAAAGAAAGAAAAAAAGAGTCAACAAGGCAGTGTACACAAAAGACATTAATTTTGTAAAAATCATTAAATTTCAATATCTTAACGAGCATCTTTCACGAACTAGGTTATTAAATCATTCTTTTTTTTTTACCTTTTAGTCCAACAAATAACAAGCCTGTATACTTGGGAATAAAAGTCTTGCAGAGCTTTCACGTAACTTGTACTGATATCATAGTTTAATGTGCTACATCCGTGCGAGAGTTATAGAGGGAAGCTTTCCGTGAGCTTTTATTGTTTACTGGAGAAATAGTGAATTCCGAGGGTAAAAAAAAAGAGATTCTCCCTCGTGAAATAGAGAGGCTGGTACCGCGAGTTACTACCCTTGCGCGAAATCTAAAGCCGTCGAAATTCATTCTCATAATAGGGGTAGACGGAAAGCATTAAGCTCGAAATGTTTTAAAGCTCAAAGAAAGCCTGGCTTGTGGTTGCATAATGCCATTTCAGGGTAACTCAACTCCTCCCGCGGGAAACATTTGTCTGACGTATAGCCTGTACGTAATACGTATGTTTATGGATAGTTTCATAAGCGTTACGTCAATGCCTTTGTTCCGAATCGCTTTGTAAGTTACAAATATTTTTCACTCTCGTGACCGATTTTTGGACTTTCGTTAATATTTGATTTTCGATTTTCATTTAAAAAAAAAAAAAGTTTTTCAATATCGAACCAATCGCGTAATTCGTTTGATAGGTATTTATTTGTATCTTGGGGTTTTTGAATTTCCCGCCTTTGAGTAATACACTAAACACAGTGTTACGACCGAACCAGAACAAAGGCCAATTTACCTAGTCCGGAGCCTTTATCGAACCGTAATAAAATATTAAGTTGCTCTGTTTTGAGTAAACGCCCGCGCACTTTACTCGGGATCGGGCTGTGCCTCTAATTACCGTGGGAAGAATGAATAAGGTCGAGATGAATCGAAATTGACTCTAAATATACTAAAAACGAATAAATACCGTCATAAAATAAATAATTGAAAACTTATGAAATCTTAGCGATCCACTTGTATACAACGAAATCAAGGAATTCCTTAAAACAAATTGCTTACCTTGATCTCGATTATTATCAGCCGTCAAAGGTAGCTGCAAGGTGATGCAAAATGCCGAAAGATTGCAAATAGAAAAAAAATAAGAAAAAAAAAATTGAACAAAAAAACCAAACAGAATGTATTATAAAGCGAAGTAACCAGAGCAAAACAAAAACTGGACAACTATAATTCGGTTGGCGAAGAACGAAACTGACTCCCGGCGAATTTTACGTTAGCGGGGATGGATTTTTGGGGGTAGGATGGTCCCTACCGATCCGAGGGAACTTTTTGAAAAAGCATACGCGACGGTTAAGGAAGTTAAGTAATTGCTGCTGAAAATTTCAGCAAGACACTTTGCATGGGGACGAAGGATTTACCGGGTCAGAAGTCTTCGGAAAGGAGTAAGGAGCTTAGCGGGATTTTCGAGGAAAAGTCCTTAAATCACTAGTGTCCGCTATGGGCGGACACGTGCACTTTAGTGAAATCGCCAACGGTCAGGGCCATTGCCTAAGTACAATTTCTTATGCACGTACCACCTCGAAAGGATCATCCCTAACCCCGATCCCTAAACCCATATGCGAGACAGTAGCTTTTCCAAGGGCTGCTAATATAACAAAAGCAAAATCCCACCGATTGGCATTTTTATATTTATTTATCGATCGCGGATCGTGGAACCTGATTTTTGTAACGCGGACAACAGGTTACTCGAGCGAGTCCGTTGTAACGCGCACAGGCTAATTCGAAACGATCTCTTGATAGCCTGATAAATTACAATGTTATTACAACGACCCTCATTTCGCGTTTAACGCTCGCTTATAAACATCTTATGGCCGGTAAGGTAGCCTTCGAATAAATTTACCACTATCGTATTACACAATATACACCTATATATTACACGCGAGCAATTAATACATGGAACGCTGAACGAATAAGACACAGGAGACTGACCAAGGGCTAAGACCGATAAATAGTAATTATAAAATCATACAGTCCTCGCAGGAAGGTTCATCGTGATGAAAAATGTGCTCGGTACGAGAAGCTATCGCGAAAAGTTCTCGCGTACGTTGCCAACGTTAATCGAGTACCGGGAAATTGTCGTGGGGCGACAATGTGCCACAACTCGTAAATTAATTTACAACGGCAGCTTCGACGGGATTAAAGAACCGACGTTTCGGCCGGCGTGGAAAAAGACAATTCAACGTTTCCCGGTATGACCTTTCGAACGTAACCTGACTGTCCGTCCGTCTATTTACGTATCGACGTATGAGAAGCAATGCCGTTACGTTTTTTTCGTTGAATTCACGTGGAAAGTTGAGTGCTAATATTTCACGGGTTCAAGATTTATATAAACGGAAGCAAAGGATACGGTAAGACTTCGAGACATAGAATTTATAGGTTACGAGACGTAAAGTGACGTAAGGTCGGTATTACGAAGGAACGTGTAACATAACCTGTGCGGTGTAACTCGTTGAAATAATCAAGATGGAATAAATTCCATAAACTGTGTAGGATCGCCGTGTGGAAACTTTATACCAGTCGGCAATGCGACTCACGTAAACACTTAGGGCTCTGAGCATTGCGTAAAAGGTGAGTCAGTAACAACAGCAGTTTAAGGGCCTGAGAGGGAATATTAGAACGCACGTGGTCGCCGACTGCGATAATACGGTTACGTACAAAAAGGCGTACCCTGTGCATAATCAAAGGCACCTTCTCCGCGGGATAACATACGAAATCTCTTTGGAGGTTTCGCGAGAGGTTAGGAAAGTGTATTACGAAAGTATACATATAATAGGAAACGCTTAGCTTTTCATTCGGGTACAAAAGTTCAATTAGAACCACTCGCGTACCATTTGCCTCTGTCCATTGTATCCGCCCGTTATTGTATTTCAACCGCAACGAGAAGCTCTCCGGAAGTTACGTGCGCGGCAATCGAAAGACCCCGGCAGGGTTGGCTCTTTCATCGGGACCATTCCCAATGCAGCGGGGCCACTTGCCGGAGTAAATCGAAAGGGCTCTAAAGGTTTCTGCCTACTGCCAATGGAAAGAGGCGGAAGATCGAGCGGGGTCGGTCTAAAGAGGCAAAACGCTTAAGAGCGTTTTTCCTACCTCGCGGTTCCCGACGGAACGAAGCTTCGAGAGACGGAATACCCCCCTTCGGGGGAAAGGTAGTAAAGGGAGATCCAACGGGGTAGACAGGTTAGGATTGGCGAAGAAGGGGAGGAAAAAAATGGGGATGAAAAAGCATCAAGTTCGAGGAAGATAGAAACTACCCTTAGGAATTTTTTGAGTTTTCGTAAAAATTTTTCTTTTTTTTTTTTTAAACACAGTTCGCTACATATACGTTCCGCGGGTTGGAAAAATTATTGAATTTATTTTTGCATCCCTTCGCGGGTCTGTACTTCCTTTGCTTCTAGGCAAGAAAACACTGTTGACACTGTGTACATTTTTCTACCCTTATTGGCCTCTCTTTTATCCGGTATGCACTGTACTGATCTGCAGAGAAATATGGATGCCGAACCAGGACCCGGATCTTCCGGTTACCATGGTGAAGGCTCGAACCGCTAACCCATCCAGGACCCGTGTACCGTTCTCATCTGAAGTCCTTGCAGAGGCTCTAGACAGGGACGGTCCCTTCCTATGCTGTATAGATACTCCGTGGTATTGCAATAAAATCGAGAAGATTCAATTCTATATCCATCCTCCATCTTCTCCTTCGGCTCCTTTCAGAACTCTCGAAAACAACCCTCGGCTCCAAGGTTGGCCAGACTGAAGACAGTGAAAGGCCCTTGTTTTATCCCGACTGTCATCGAGTGGAGTAAATAATATCGCGAGGGATGAAAAGAAAAAGAAAAAAAATAATATTCAACATATTCACTAGAGCAAGGTATTTTCGAAGTTCAATCGAAAAGCGATGAAGCGCAACGGAATAAAGTTTTCTTCGTTACAAACAGGAAAAGAATCATAATTTATGGTAAAAGAAAAAAGTAAATATACGAGGGGTAAATGTTTCGCGCTGAAATCATAACTGCTGAAATCTGACGAGCGTGAATATTTATTTTAAACAATTTCGGAAAAACGTCCCTCTTTTTTGTATATATATATGTAAATCCTATATATACAATATATAATTATATACAAATCTATATGTATTTCATAGGACTACCGTGGACATTGTATCCAGTAAACTGAACGCGGTTTCCTTGAAATTACTACCGGATGCTGAGGAATACAAAATGGACCACCAGAGACGTGGGGTGGCGTTGATCTTTAATCATATCCATTTTACGAATATGTCAACGAGAAATGGTACAGTCAAGGACTGCAAGGAGATGGAATTGACGCTGATGGATTTGGGCTTTGAAGTCCGTGTCTATAACGATCCAAAAATGTCGACCATCAATGCAGTGCTGAAGCAGAGTAAGTCCTACAGGGTCCATCAGAATATTGCAAGAGCATCGGGGGTACAGTGAGCGTCAAAAGTTTTCGCGAGCGCACGTACCAGCTGTAATTGAATTACGATGTCAAAGCTTTCGGCACGCGAGACGTGACTTTGCTTTTGTACCTCGTGCTGCCAACTCACTTCCGTTTTTTCTTCTTGACAAACCGGAAATCACCTGACCCCTAGTTCCCGTGCAATTCCTTGCGACTGCGCGCCGCGGCACGAACCGACGTTCCCTCCGAGAATTGATAGGCCCTCGTAAATTTTGACAATCTCGTGCGCACTTGGCTTTTCTTTTTTTGCTTTTTAAAGTTTCAGAAATACATTACGGCGGAAATCATACGTACTTTCTTTGGCATACTTATGGTAGGTCACAGCGGAAAGAATGTCTGGTTAGGTAATGAGATCTTTTTTAAAAAAAAAAACGATTTTTTGGGGGATTTTAAAAAATTTTGCGGATTTTTTATTTTTCACCTTTTTTTCTATTTTGTGCTCTGGATCTAGCAGGATGAATTTTACACGTGGCTCCATTTTTTTTTGTTCTTGTACAGATTACTTGACGCAACGCTTTTTTTTTCACTTTAATTAAATACCTGTCCGATAGGGAGACCTTTTAATCGGTCACTGGGTATTAAGATATACTTAAGGCTTTTACCAAATCTTAGGGTCACTGGGTATGTACTTGGATAATTATATCGAGATAAATCTAACCTAAAAGGGGATAAATAACGTGAGAAAAGATAAACTCGTTACTTTGACGTTAGTTGAATGTTCAATATATATATAGTAATAGGGATACTGTAATCAAGCTCTTGTACATGGTACCTATATAGGTATAAGCTTTTTCAATTACTGCTCCACCACTTCCAATAATCCTAAAGAAGAGTATCGTTACTTCACATTAATTTCATTAGTGTTCTCATAGAAGTGGATTAAAATGAAAGTATCACTTTTTCTCATACTTTCGCAAGAGAAAGACAATAGTCTGGCAAAAGCCAGGACACTGCTTTAATTTTTCTTTTCTACTTCGTTCCATTCGAACACCGCAGGTGGCTTCGGATTGATTTTTACTTCTCTACCAGAGTCGGGAGTACCATGGTGTCTTTTCAGAAATAAACTTAAACTTTCAATCACGAAATTCCAACGAACTTGAAGGGGACAAACTAAATAATTGCTTTTTCACTTCGTCAATTCTTGATTTCCCGACAATGCAAAAATTTCGCGTAATTTCGGGTGAAGAAAAACAAAATTTCAATTTGACGTCCCACAGAAATATAATGTCATTCGGGTCAAAAGCAGCAAGCAGTCTTTGACAGCTGTCAAAATTGCAATAATATCTTGCATATAAATAAATATATAAATTTTGCAGATAAAGAGATCACACTTTGCCAACAGAAGTTACAGCAGATACATATCCGCGCGGTAAAGATTTTTCGAAAATTCGGTCCTCGGGGAAATAAATTCAACGTACACCTAGCTGACGTAGATTCCACAATCGGGTAACCGGGACTCCTCGGGTTTCCAAATCGATTTGCAAAATAAGCTCAAATCCTCGATTCCCACGTGGTCGCAGAATCCGCAAGTCTCTTTTGCTCCCTTTTCGCTGTTACCTGAGCAGTGCCAAATGTCCTCGTACCTGAGTACCTACGTAAGGACGATATCGCCAGGATATTCTCTAACGTGAGTTCGAACGAGTTCAGCTAGTTTTGGTAGCTATTAACCCTCCAGGAAGTCAAGATAGGACCTCTCCCTGTTACTCCAGAATTCCTTGGAGGCACTTAACCACTTCCGGTTCCCACAAGAACCATACATTTTGCATATGCTTGCCGAACTGCAACAAGAATTAAAATTTGCCATTTTTTTCCCAGCATCCCCTCGCATCCTCTAACCACCCGTGAGCGGATAAAATTTTATAAAAAAAAATCGACAACCTCCAAATTCAAATTCACCTATGGATATAAATGCACGTCCAACAATTTTGCTCCAGCGCCCCGCTATTGCAGCTAGACACGTACTAGTTCACCAATGTACTTAAACCTGCATATAGCTAACTGTTATGTACTATTCATAGTAACAGTACCCAAGTACATCCCATGTACAAGCATGTGCACATTATGTACCTACAGTGCACAGTAAACTGCACAAGCACAGAGTGCAGCGTGCACGTGGCGAATCTCCAATGAAAATTCTTCAACGTGGCGAGCAGACAGAAAATGATCGTGGCCAGAAATGACTATCGGATACAGAGTGCACTTCGTCGTAAATTGATAGTAATAAAAGAGCGATGGATAAGGTTTGATGTTTATGAATAAAAAAAATTTTTCTTATCCGCCGGATAAATTTTTGTAAAATAATAGAAAAAAATTTCTTTCCACTTGGCACTATCTGTGATATTTTTCATATCGACAATTTATATTGTGGCTTTATATTTAATTTTTTTTTTTTTTCACCAATATCTTTCCGTCACTTATCGTTAATGCTTTTTATGGATACTGCACATTTTTCCTTAAGGATCTATTCGCACTGTCGTTTCTTATTGTTTACGGATGCCGCTTATCAGTGCATTCGAATCGGATATCGTTACGCGTGATAGTTATCATCCCACGATGCATCCGTTTAAACGACAATGCGCATGCACATTGAACGTCGACGACGATGTTAACGGGTTTGCCATTTCCCATAGCGGCGACAACTATGATTTTCGTGTACGCATTTCGTAAAGGTGACGTATTATAAATAAGACAAACAGACCGGACTCTATCGGGGCTATGATAACGCAATGATAAAATGATATTGAAATTAACGTTAATGCGCATGCGCAGACTCTTAAAGGATATATACATACCTTGTAACGTATTTTTTTTCTTAACTCGACACAGATAGCGAGAAATCCGATAACGAACTATTTTCGAGAACCAACCTACGTTACCTTTGGCCGTCCACCCATCGCTCATGCATCCGCAAGCCAGGCCGGCGCCAGCCGATTCTTTTATTTCACCGGGAACTGTCGAGCCGGCATGACCTGGGAGTTGGGCTGGAACAGGCCCAACTCCACTAAAACGAGAGCTATGATGGAATCTATCAGAAGAGATGATAACTTAATGGATCCTGTAGATTTTTGGGGTCGCGTAAAATCAGCAAACGCAACTGGATGCACGAACGGGACCGGACGGTTACGGAAATGCGCGGCCGCTCAGATTGCCAGGTCGAGATAGAGAGGGTCGCAGTAAGCGGCAGGCAAATAGTGCGAGACAGAGAGCAACGGATCGAGAACGTAACAGAACGAATATGAACTATCAAATCGAAATCCATTCACCATTAATAAATTGGGAGACTCACCGGTGCAGCTGATCCGTGAAGGCCTAGACCTGTATCCAGATGACACTCGGGCAGGCGCTGCACTACGACACAGCACTGCACTTCCAGAACACTCACAGAAAATCCATAGAATTTCTTGGATATCGCGGGAGCAACGCGAGAACTACACGAGCGAGAACTTGGTATACCGTATCGAAACACGGCTAGAAAAACTATCAACAGGTAGCACGGGAGCGCGAGCCAGTTCGTGACACCTCGGTCGGTGTCCCGAGACAGACTGCTTTGACAATAGCCAAATTCGAGAACTAATCATTCTGATTGGTCGAGATCCTTATAGCCGATAACTCTTCCATTTCCCAGAGTCGTCCCTAAGATCGATTAATCGAGAGCGTTCCTTAGCGACCACAGCTGGGTAGCACATCCTTAACTCGGGTCAGGGGGTTCCTCCTCTGCCCTTAACCGTATCAAAACTACCTCCGCCCGCTCTACAGCGCTTTGCCCATCTCCAGCGGGGCGTCGGTATCTCACCCGGGCTCCTGCCGGTCCGTGGAGACGTCTCCGTCGGGTCGTCTCCTCTGCCGGGCAACTCGGTACGTCGAGACTATCTCCCCACGGCAGATTCGAGCACCTCGACCTCAACTAAACAATAACGAAATCTTACGAGAGCCTTGACATAACTGTACGAATCAACCCGAGAGCGTAGCTTCTGAGCAGGGTGGCGACCCGAAAGGAACCAGAAATCGAGAACGTTATCTGTATCGGTAACCGGAGCCGCCTTGTGACCGCGATTTGAAAAATGACGTCACAGCGCATTTGAATAAAAATAAAAAGTTATATTCCTCGAGTGACTTTTGGGGGTGAAAAAAAATGTCAGAACATTTTTTCAATAATTTTCACGTACCGTACAAGTAATTTTTTTTCAACCAAAATTCGTCAAATTCAAATTTCGAAGCTTCGGGCATAAACTCATGAATCTCTGGGCTTGTTGCGCCGTAAACGTTAACGCGCGCGAAGCAAGTGTTCAATTACCAGTTGGAAGATACGTAACGTCCGCGTCGGGCAGTTAACGTAGTAATTGAAATATCTCTGCCGGTATAAAGTTTCGAGGCGTAAAATTGGTCGGAAAATCTGGCTAAGGTCTGACGATAAACTGACCCACCCTCACGAGCGTAATGTACGTGCGATTTTTGGATCAAGTAATAAAAAAAAAAAATAAGCGATGATAATCCTCGATAATTTAATCAAAAAAATTTTTTTATTTCAGCCGCCGCAGAGGATCACAGCGATGCCGATTGCCTGGTGGTGGTCGTCATGTCTCATGGCGAATCGGGGATGCTTCACTCGGGCGACGTTCTTTATCACGTTGATACTCTTTGGAATCCGTTCACAGGAGACGAGTGCACGACGCTCATCGGCAAGCCGAAGCTTTTCTTCATTCAGGTATCGAAGAAGCTTCGGAAAGATAGGACGGCATTTTTCCCAGCGAAATTTCATATTTCTCCTATCGAGCCCTCGTGGCAGTTTTAACCACGGGGAAACGAACAAAGAAAATTTTTAAATAAAGAAACAAAGTTAATGCACCGGCAAAGGAGCGACGGCCGCGGAGACTGCCGGAAACTCGAGGAAATGTCGCGAAAGTTTTTACCCTGTAAATTCCAAGAATATTCAAGGCAAAAGTAGGTAAAAGCGTTGAAAACGTTATCCCGCCGTAAAATATATGTAATTTCGTGGCATCGTGGTTACTTGGTGGCATCCCCTTTTAAAAACCAGCCCGTGGCTAAATGTGTACACACAAGGGGCTGCTACCACCCCACCAAACTCTGTGTAATTTCAAAGTACTTAAAATCAAGGATCTTAGGAAATTTAAATATTTACAATTATCGCGTACCGATTTTCGTGTAGTTCCCATGACTAAATTGGGCTTGGAAATTTAAGCAGTCCTATGATAATATTAATATTACGTAATACGTAAAACTTTCTACGTACCCTCCAAATTTTGATCCTTCGGGCTTTACGCACCCTGTACCGGCACCGAGTGCCCAGGTCCACGGGTCCACATGGCGTAATCCCTCTTGAACAACATTCGACATGGTACCTTAATCCTAATCGAGTTTCTAAACATATTGAAAATTCTTCTGATATTGGATAAGGGTAGTCTTAAGGTTACTGAAAAAGATCGACTACCCCACCCGAACCACCCACCGTCCTCTTCGTCCCGTTCAGGCTCCGCTCTTTGAATAGCGAGTGAAAGAGCCCATTTTTCATACTCTCTATTTTTATTTCCTTTTATACTCTTCGTCCCCTTCTGTCCCATAGGCCTGCCGTGGAGAGAGACTTGACAAGGGAGTGAAAATCATCCATGAAACTGACAGCTCCACTCCCTCATACACTATACCTGCTTACGCTGACATATTGGTAGCGTATTCCACATATGATGGTAAGTCCATACTCATATGTGTATATATTTCATATATTTATAATTATGACAAGATTGTACAGCTGCTAATGATAATGTTGTCTGCGCGGTAGAAATACGTGTGCGTGTATTTATGTATAGGTTAGTTATGGAATTTTTTGAAAAAAAAAAAAAAAATTTCCTGATACCGGAAATGAAAACTCGTTGAAATTGAAGGAGGTAAATTGCGATGGTACTTCCGGTGGAGTTTAAAATTAATAAAATAAAATACTACATAGAAATTCACTTTGATTTTTGCGTTGTCGATCTGAATTTTTTTTTGGTATTTGTAAAAAAAAACATTTTAGTATCCAAGCATCTCGAGTAAACCGATCGAAAATATGTTTTTTGGAAAAATTTTGCTATTTTGATCTTCCATTTGCGATATTAATTGGCTCCTCTCACGCCGAAGATACTGAAGGTTATCGAGGGATTTGAGATTAAGGCCCAACAATTTCGTGCATTTTGAAAATGGGTCCATCGAATAAAAATATCTCCTCATCCCTATAATAATTCTACCCGACAAACGAAGAAGTTTTTAGATTAAGAAAACATCTGTTTTGTTTTTTGAATATTATCCTAATCTTAATTATCATATACAGATGTAATCCACGAGTCTTGCTGTTATATCCGATACGAGTAATTCGCTCGAGATGAGCGCAGAATATTGAATTAGATAACGAAGCATAATCACCGTTGTAAACGAAGGGCCGTATAATACTTGAATACCTTCGGTTCCCAATTGCCCATGAAATCCAATAGCTATTGATCCAATTCAGACAATTTTCATGGCATTTTATTAGCACTACACAAACGCTCCTATCGGCCAAACCACGTACTTTGCATGAGTTCTCATGTCAATGTTTACTCGCTAATCCATTTACGTTTGAATTTCCCGCGCACGACGCTCCCATCGATTAACGACTAAACAGGCTACACAATGAATTTGCTCGAATCTTAAAAATGGTTAAAAAAAAAAATGAGAAAAATTTTTTATGGTTACTTAATTTTTTTCCTCCATTTTTCGGTAAATTTGTCGATTTATCTTATGAAAAAAGAGATACCGTCACGAGGTTATAACCTCGTCATTCCACTTGTTCCTAAATCGTGACGCGGAAGCAATGCACCCTCTACTTAAATAAATAATGATCCTCGGTGGTATGATAAACATTCGCCAAGAAGCAAAGCGGGAGGCTTTTATAGTCTCATAAATTCGAACTAATCCGTTACCGCTTTTGGTACTAAAATGTTATAAGGAAGTTATTATATCCTTTAACGAAATTTCGCCCTGGAGATGAGAGAAAGGTCAAAACCGTTTTAAAGGAAACTTCACTCGGTATCCCTTACGGCGAGTACAAAGATAATCCAGAAGGAGACGACTAAATTTTTAAAGATTCTCAACAATATCCTTCGGCACTGTACATAGCTTATGCTCTATATCGTAGAAGAAATAAAAGTGTCACCCAAATCATGATTAATGTTCGACGAAAAAATAAGGGTGGAAAAAAGGATAACGTAACGTATACACGTAGCACAGGACGTCGCAGGGTTCATTGAAATATTCGTATACACAGACGCGTATATCTTTGAACGTTTTCACAGTCGTTTTACGTGCTGAATATAAAGTGTAGATATTACGATGCCATATATGCCATATATATACGTGTATATATATAATTTATACATTTTTCGTGAAATCCTCCGATTTATTCCCAGGGACGTCAAAGTGAAGAAAAAAAAATTAATTGGGCGACCCGTGTAATTTTTTCTATTAAAGGTTTCTACTCCTGGAGAAATCCCGATGCTGGCTCCTGGTTCATCCAAGCGATTTGCCACGAGTTCAAGCTCAACGGACGTAAACGTGACCTTCTGACAATTCTGACCTTTGTCAATCGTCGCGTGGCCGTCGAGTATCAGTCGTACGTTCCCCAGAATGCCAAGATGAACGAGAGGAAGCAGATACCGTCAGTGGTGACGATGCTGACGAGACTCCTGTACTTTAGGGACCGGAAAAATATGAACTATGAGGAGAGCGGCGTCAGGACCGTGAAAAATAAAGGTGCACTCACAACGAATAAAGATGAGACGTCACCGGCAAAAGGGCAAAGGACGAATACATTGCGATAATCGATTATCAGTATCAGGTCGTGATTCTTTGGGACACGCGGAAGTGGAATCTTCGTCGTCTTCTGGAGCAGGGAGGAAGCTGTGCGAAGTTCAATGAACGGATTACGTCATCGATTCGGAGAATTGGACCATTGCGATCTTTAAATTAGGAAAAAAAATAAAAATTTGGTACACATTTTACGAGATGATGGTACGGAAATTTTGTATTTTTTTTTTGGTCATCGTTTCGTTGCGAATAAAAACGTAAACAGCAAATTTTAAATATACTTTTTTTATCAGAAAAATAGGCCAACGTCGTTGTTACCTGAAATTTTTTACTCGAAATTGAATTTTGCAATTTTCCCTTTTTTTTTCGATTTCTTTTATTACAAATATCACATATCCTCAACACGAGCGTGCGCTAACCAAATACCCGAATGTGTACTACAATTAAAAACTATTTTCATGTAACATCGCAACCGTCCATTACCTTAAATACAAAAAAATATATAAAAAAAAAAGCAAGCCTATAAATTTCATATTTAACATGTGAATTGACAGTTCACGTTAACAACGATTGACCAGGAATGTTAAAATTCTGTTGAATGATTAAAATTGAAATAATAAAAATTACCACAGTCCTATTCAATGTTCCTATGATCGATATCGATATATCCGATTCGAGGTCTATAAAATTTCAATTAAGTGTAACGAGGAACATGGTTGGAAGAGTGACGTCACTATGATGGGATAAGAGAGTCACAAGGGTTGGTGTTTTAATAATGCGGTGCAATTACCAGGTATAAGGCATACTAAACCTTAAGGGTCCATAGGGTCCTTTTGCACGCTTTGTTTACGTAATATTACAATGCGTGGAAGACACCCTTGAGACTCTAATTTGAGTGCAAACATGTAGAGGGAGGAGGGTTGTCTACATGGTGGCGGCCGAGTTTTCTCCACTAGCGTGAGCCGTGTGACTGGTGTATATATATATATATATATATATATATATATATATATATATATATATATATATATATATATATGGACATATGGATATCACGGGCGGAGTGAGAGAAGTATGGCTGCTGCTGCTGCTGCTTACAAGACTAGTGGAAGTCCCGGCTGAACTGAAGGGGACAAGTACGTATAAGGGATGCAAAGGTAAGAAGGTGGTTAATGACATACAAGAGACAGCGGGAAGCTCCATGTTGACTTTCTTAAGAGCCTTCGAGTGGCTGTACCAGAGATCTCGTGCCTTGGTTCGCTTCGCGATGAAAGCTCTCGAGCTTTCCTTTTTCGGAGTTATAAAAAAATTAACCAAAGATGAAAAACGATTTTCATAAAAAAAAAAAATATATAAAGCTCGGGACTTCGTAAGGTCGTTGGTATTTCGGATAAATATCGAGCCTACCGAAGTTTAAGAAAATCAAGAGCTTTCGAAAAAAAAAAATTTGTACGCGCTGATGGATTCGTTGAAGATGACAAGAGGGTTTTGCTAAATTGATGGCAAATAAAAGTAAAAATAAGATATTCAGGAATAATGTAATTTTCGCGTGTCTCGCTTAAGCGGATTCGTGAAATTACGCCACTGGCAGATCTGGGGCACTTGCTCCAATTAGGCCCAAGTGTGCTGTCCGTGGTAAAGCCAATCGTAAATACAGAGTAATCCAGCCACGTGGCCACGTATGCTAATAAATAGGTAACAGAGCGCAGGCATTAGAATCTTCAAAGGACATAATAAATTTATATTTTTTTTCTTCGAAGTATCCACCCATCTTCTATCCCATTTATCCCAATTCTGTATAATGCTCTCGGCCGCAGCTGCCCCCTCCGGTGCCGTACGAAACTGCCGCAATTTATTCACCCGGCTTCCAAGTCCGGCCGCAAATCGCTTTCGTATCGAAAAGCACGCAAGCTCATTGGCTTCTACGTTGGCCGACCTTAGAGATTCCATTGGGTACCATTTCGTAACGGTATATATCAGATTGAAGTAACTTTATGGTGCTGCTTGAGATGGCTGTGCGAATTCAAAAGGTTACACGTAATTACGGTCGGACAGAAACGTCTGGTTCTTACCGAGCTTCCGGTTTTCAAAAGTTTTCACGTGAAAGCTGCCTTTAACGCCTTTACATTTCACTTAACTCTTCCCGACGCGATGCTGCCAATTTGATAAATTGCCGGGGTGAATGCAGCTGGCGTCGGAGGTAGGATTATGTCTGCGCTGGAGTGCAATAGCAAAAGCTCGTAAACGCTTTGTGTAACGACGTGCTCGAAAGCTGCGAATAGGGTTTGGAAAATATGCTAATTTTAAAAACACGAAAAATTTTTTATATTATCGATTATGACTCGTAAGTATTTGGATGACGAAATATCTGACAGATTTTTTTTTATCGGTCAACCTTGATTTTTTTTAAGTACGCGTAGTATGCCGATCCTACGGAGCTTTAATTTTTACAATCCGTATTTAAGCTCTCGCGGGATCGTCGAGGCATTAAATATTTTTATCGCAATCATAAACAGCTTTATTATAAAATCATTACGTTGCCGTAGTGAGGGCAGGGAAGGTTGTGCGATATAAAAAAGAGCTTTTTCATAGAAAATTTACGTCACCCAGTCGCTTTTCGGCGGAGCTTCTCTTTTTTACGTTTGCAAGCACAGTACTTGAGACTAGATTGAAATCTACAAGACTTCTAAAGAGCTTTCCATGCTTTTCGCGTGTAACTGATAGCAGGAGTATTATCCTCCAGTAAAAGAGCCGCGCGAGCTTTTGACCTACAAAATCATTGGGGATAGTGCTTGCACGTGAAAGCGTCCGCTTAATTTAACGTAGAATGAGGAAATAAGTTTTTACGAGGTATCCCCGACAAAAAATTATACTATAGCTGGTAAATAGGATTAAGCGCAAAGGGAATCCTCCTGGTAGGAAAAGCTCTTAGTCGGAAGGACTTCGCTTCGGGATCTTTGACAAGTCTCGAAAAGCACAGCTCATATGAAAAGCGCGAGAAGCGCCAAGCACTAACTATTAAGCTCGACAGTCGGATCCCGGCCAACTTTTCTCTCTTGGGACAGAGAGAGGGAGAGAGAGAGAGAGAGAGAGAGAGAGAGAGAGAGAGAGAGGGGTAGAGAGAGGGGTAGAGAGAGAGAGGGGGGGGAGACGAAGAGCTTATGCAGACAGAATTCCGTGCTTGCGACATCAGTAGGTGCGAGCTAACCTTTACACAAGGGAAATGCACGTAGAGATTTAAAAGCTCTCTGCCGAGACAACGTAACGAACAGAATGCACGAACAGTCGAAATGGCTTAATGAAGTTTTCTCATTTTACCCAGAACTGACCAATCAGAAAGCACCGAACCGGAAGGCGAGCATTAAAAGTTACTCATGGACAAAATCAGAAACCAATAACGTTCCAGAAAGTGCTTATCCACGCTCTACGACTCTACTCTTCGTTAATCTTCGCCTCTCATCGCTTACTCACATTTTCTACTCATATCCCGGGCTTTTTTCTGTTTTTTTTTTCCTATTCGGACTTATATCCAACCTCGATATTACCACTGTTGCGCTACCGCAAGTTTTTCACCGATTTAAAAGCTTTATTTGTTTTACCAATCGTTCATTAAACTAACCGCCTTACCGTTATTCCCTGCAAGTTCTCACGAACCGATCGCTCGAGCGTGCTTAAATGGCGAATTGTTGAGTGGCCAAGAGCTTTTCTCGCGACACGATAACAGTGAAGGGAAAAGCGTGAAAGCTCGCTCAACAACCGTTGTACTATTCAGGAGCTTTCGTCGATAGTAATTTACTTGCAAAAATTAAACAGTTGGTCATCGAGCTTTTTTGTTCGAAGTATGAAGTTTGACGTGGGATATACTTAAATATTATATAAAAAGTGTATAAAAGTCGTTTGGCATGAAATACCTAGAATCCGATACATGCTATTCGTAAATTTAAAAAAAAATATAAAAACTTTGAAAAATATTTTGATACTGGTAAAACGAGGTAAACGTAAAATTCAGAGAGCTTTTCACTTCTGTGTTCAAAAAGTGGAACAAATAAATTTGAAAACCGATTTAATACGAAAGCTCATACCGTATATTGTGGACGGTTATTGGATACAATTATGTAAATACGTTACGTGACTGGTACGGTGGCGTCTTTGGGCAAACACTGAGCTTTTTCCTGGATTTTGATAAAAGGAAGCAAAGCGTGAAACCCCATTGAGGAAGTTCCAAAAGATTTAGAATGCTATACAGTCGAGGCAATTCAATTAGGTCGAAATCGATGTTCGTGTCAGTCTGCCTGTTTCTCGGATACTTTCCACTTTTTTTGTCAATTTTTTTTTTCAAAAATTTACGTCCAGCATTAAATTTACGAGAGAATAGAAAGGAACGGCGTCTCCGCGGTTCTCACTGACGCTCTGAAAAACAAAAAAGGTGACACGTATAAAAGCTCTCCCCTATTTCCACTGGATTTACATCTAGATGTAATCGGACTCGTTGTCGGATATTCGAAAAAGCGGGACGCACTCACAAAAAATTGCTTCGGCTCCTCGACATCCCACTATTTTTTATGCGGTAAATAAAAATATTTTCAAAAATCATTTATCAAAGAAAAAACTTTATCCATGACAGTCTTTATCATACCTCGATCTGAGCCATGTCTATAGAATACCATATAAAGGATATTACTCGTCAAAAAAAGCTCAAGCTCGTATCCGCTTTATGTATTGCATGCAACTCTGCAACAACTATGTTACATATAATATACACCTACACACATATACACTCATAATATATGACCAATTTACTCATAAAATCCCAATTACATAAAATTCCCAATTACATTACCCAGTTTCCCACAGTAGCCATACAGAGCTTTTACCCGTATGCGAATATCGCGTAAGGAAATTTCGTCTATACATATACGCGTGCGTTCTATTTTCTCACTAGTGCAGCATTACACGTTAAACCGTATTATTAAATTCAGCAAAAATCATTCGTTCGAATATTTATGCGATTCCATATAAGCCGGCTGGTATTCTATATCTCTAAGTACAGTACTGTCGTTGATATCGCTATTGTATTTACAGGGCACTCAGTCCAGTACGTATTGCACGATAGGTATGTAAACCGATAAGTAGATTACTGGAAATATCCATATGCACTGGATATGGGATATATCACGATATGCTAAATAGTTCATGCTAAAATATTTTACCTCTGAGATATCAGAGAGTTGAAGATCGAGTCCATAAAATTTCCAACGAAATTTCAAATATACACACGTACATATACACCCAGTGATTTCCAACTCTTCGAAATGATTCATCGACAATGCCCATTGTCCTCCATATCCTGGCAGTCCTCAATCGAGCGACAAACCCACCGTGCACACACGTCCTAAGCGTCGCTCGACAAAATTCGCGAATTCATATAGATCATCGTTCCCGATTTACCATGAGAAATGAATCGGCCTCGATGATAAGATAAATACAGCATCCATGTATTACATAACCACAAAGTAAAAAAAAAGCCGTATACAGAAGAAAAAAAAGTAGCGAAATATCGAAAAGCTTCGAGGATGATACGAGTCAGCGATATTGCATCGAATACGCAACGTCATTGTTTGCCACGTGGATGACGTAACAGC